GCAAGAAGCATGGGCGGTACTGGCTTGGCGATGGCACCCGCATCAGGAGCTGCGGGACCTAGCGGCGAGGACCGAGGTGGCCGAGCGGGAAAGACAAGCCGAGTGGGCCGAGCGGGAGAGACAGGCCAAGCAGCTGGCGGAGATTACGATGTTCTTGCAGAACTTTGGGCAAGTGAATGGTGTACCTGTGCCGATGTTCGCTCCAGTGCCGCCGCCAGTTGTAGCTAGTCCAGTGAGTATGAATCCATATTGCTTCAACTAGTGCTTTCATTAGATGACCCACTCTAAGCGCCTGAATCTCTTGTCCTTTATGCAGCCTCCGTCGGTGGGTTCGAATAACCCATCTTCGGCGCAAGCAGGCGGTGTCGAGTTTCCTTCACCAGGCACTCAGTTTCCTCCCCACCTTTAGTTTGTATCTCTTTTTCACCGCTTGATGGACATGTGATGCACTGTGATCCACTATCAACTTGTTTCGATGGTAATTGGACCTATTATGTTTGTGATGTCGTGTATGTGAGGTATTGTATTCGCGATGTGATATATGTGTGGGATTAAGTTTGTGATGAGAGGGATGTGATATATATGTGCTATATTGTCTTTGTGATGCTTCAGATGTGATATATATCTTTTATATGCTGTGTTTGTGATTATAGAATCAAAAAACAAAATAAAAAAAATTAATTTTTGAGGCTTTACCGGGTGCCACAGCCTACAGGCACTTTCGGCAAAGCTGGGAATTCTTTTCAAATTCCCAGCTTTGCCGAAAAGCTGTGGCTAGGGCACCCCCTTTAAAAAAAAAAATTTTTCTGTGGGGGTTTGCCGGGTGCCCATGACCCGCACCCGGCAAAGAAATTACGAAAAAAAATAAAAAACTCTTTGCCGGATGCTCCCGCGGTGCGACACCCGGCAAAGAAATTATAAAAAAAATAAAAAAATATTTGCCGGGTGCCTCCCGAGGCACCCGGCAAAGAAAATTTGAAAAACAAAATTTAAAAAATCTTTGCCGGGTGCCTCTGAAATGGCACCCGGCAAAGCAAGGGATGACGGAGCCGGCGCCATAACGACCACTTTTCTTTGCCGGGCGCCGAGTTTGCACTCGGCAAAGTCTTTGCCGGGTGCCCGATAAAAAGCACCCGGCAAAGAAATCTTTGCCGACTAATTTTTTTGCCGGAGGCTCTTTGCCGAGTGCTGCACCCGACAAACGCTTTGCCGAGTGCAAAGTAGCCTTTGCCGGGTGCATTCGGCACCCGGCAAAGCGCCTGAATCCAGTAGTGGATACAGTTGTGATTCTGATGAAATGCTCATGGGTAGTGACATATCTCTACCACAGACAGTTAGTCAAACGTGATAGCACCACATTGAATTTTGTTTTGCTGTCAGCGTTTGAACATTGGACCGAACTGAGCATGGTTTGCGTGGCTTCTGAGAAGGCGACAACCAGCGCCATGTTAGTTTGGGCTTGTTTGGCTCATAAGTCATGGCTGAAAGTACTGTTAGCTGATTTGGTGTGAGAGAAAAATACTGTTCGTTGACTGAAAAAGTACGGCTTATAAGCCAAACAAGCCCAAACGAATACGGTGCATATACAAATAAATCAACCAACATGTGCAGGCTGTTTAAAAAAAAATGGGAAGGAGTCACTGGGGAGCCGAGGGCACCACCTGCATTTACCATGGATTCTGGTGAACCGGTAATGGACGGTGGTGAACCGGCCGGTACATAATGTTTGGAAGAGCTTTGCATTGAAAAGGTCCTCCTACACCAGGCATCTGGGATATGGCACATTGTTTGAGGAAGACGATAACTCCACAGTCACGCATATTCTTTGCATGCGAGGAGGCAGAGACGGGGTAGGCACGGCTGCTTGGCACGGAAGATGACGTCATGGCGATGCTTCCATAGGTGCCAATGGCATACTAAGATGATTGTTGAAGTTAGCATCACTAACATATGTGGCTGTTCCTCTGTTTTTCGGAGTTGGATGACATGTAGTTCTAGCCAATATGTGCCCGGAAGGATAAGGTGGTCACATGTCTCTGTCTTCATCCACAATGCCTTTCTTCATAAGATTTGCTTTGTATCGCAGTTGGTCCATAGAAGAAGCCGCCATCTAAATAATTTCACTTTTGGGAGGAAAGCCACATGCATTGAGAAGCTTCATGATGTTGTCCCATGCCACTGAGTCTAATGCTTTGGCGAAGCCCAATTTCAAGACAATTGTGGGCTTCTATTACCGGTTGCAACATTGGACGATGCGAACACAAGGTTGAGACGTGTCCTTGTATGTCGAGTTTGTGATGAGTGATTGTTAGAGATGATCGGTTTTGGTTGAGTTTGGAGACTAACCATCGCATGAGTATATGTGTGCAATATGTCTCTTGGCTATGTTGGTGTGTAGGTCTAGAGCACAGAGACGGTCGACGGATATGGTGAAGATCAAGTAGAGACGGGTCGAACTGTGTCTCCATCCTAAACTTCTGACGGCTTTTGGAATCACTTCAGTATATTTTAGGGACGATTTAGTTTGCAGCTCAAGCAAACATGTTGCTTCTTCAAATAAACTACCCTAATCCTACCCCGTCCTAAATATTTTAGCAGTGGCTTGTTCCTAATCCAAACAGGCCCTTAAATGGGCTGGATTGCTAGGGTGGAGACACGTGCATCGTCGATGGATATTGGGGCACAGGAGATGTCGGCCCATGCTTCTTACTGTAGAGGCTAACATTGGCTTTTAAAGTTGGGCTCTATCCTCACAAGACTAACACATAAAAAACGAATATGAACAATAAGTAACTCACGAAAGACAAAAAGAGTTATTTTTGCCTCCTGAGACATCCTCCACCGAGACGCACAACCCCTGCTCGGGAACATCAACATTGGTGGCTTTGACATTCATTTTGAATTATAGTTTACCATGGTAACACGTACACTTCCGTCATAATGATGAAACTGTAGTAAAAGAAAAACTCTGACCTTGTTTTGGCATGGCCAGGCGAGGAATATTTTTAATCCCAGCCTGAAATTCGTTTGCACGGAAGTCGAACTCAGGACCTCTGACCAACTTAGCTAGAAGTCCTTTTCGCATCATAAGCTGTAGTCAAACCTTGTCGTGTCTTTAGAAACTACTCGTCGTGTTGCTACAGGTTCCTAAGGAGGTAACTGGGAATGAGGTTCGCTGTGTCCAGGGATATAGGGATATAGTGATGGGCCTAGCATGACCAGGTGACTCTAGAGATATATAGAAGTGAGGAGGCAACCACGACTGCGGTTTGGAGAGACGAAACTCTAGTCTTCTGTTTATATATGCTGGAAAACCGAAAAAAAGTGTTGGGTTGGGTTTGGGCTAGCCTATTTGCAGAGGTGGATCTCTTAAGAGGTTCACCTGTTACAATGGTCCTTATTTTTTAGAGACGGACCTCTTAAAAGACCTAGGTGAATGGATTTGCATAACAACCGTATATAACCCGTGTCAATATATAGTAATAGATGGATTTTCACAGGCAGAATAGACAACCGCGCGCCTGTAAAAATCATTAGCATAAGAACAGCGTGTGTAGTTTCAAGAGATAGTTGCACGCCGGACCTACCATAGTTTTCAAGTCTGGCTTCCCACGTACCACGGCCAGAAGAAAACCTCGTTAATTAATTTGACCAGAAAAAAAGAGTCAGGGTGGATGATGAGCTGTACCGCCACTGCCTCTTTTCTTTCTATAGTGTATACATCCTTTGCTATGCACTTTCTTAGCTAGATGCCTGGTGGTCAAAATGGTGCTTCTAAGAAGTATTAATACCTTATGCCATGGGCGTGCATCAAACCCAACATACAAATCCACTTTTGTCGTAGTAGCTCCGTTGTCTCGTTAGTGTCTATCACGAGGGCCTTTTTATGGCATGCCTAATCGTCACCACATTCGTTTCTTGCTTTCCATCTTTAACTATCTGTGAGATAAAAAGTGGCAAGTGATAATGTGGTTGGTAATCTTGATGTATACTACCACCATTATTCTAGAACGTCAACAATGTAGTGGTTTTAGGCCAAGAACACAATCAACAAATTAAAGCAGATGAAAGACACTGAGATAGAAATTCCTCGATATCTTTTTTGTCATGATATATATATATATATATATATATATATATATATATATATATATATATATATATATATATATATATATATATATATATATATATATATATATATATAAGGGATTTGCAAAAATTCAGGTGCCTAATTTTAGCTTCCTTTCAGGTGACAATTATCGCATATATTTTATACTAAAATTATAGCTTTAGTTTGTTACAATTTATATAGGCATGAGAATAATAAACTTGTTAGACAAAACCACAAATCTGACAAAATTTGATCAGTGTTGGCACAAAGATAATTAACAATTTATAATTGTTTCTAAAGTCAGTTAAGGACAAAAATTTGATGCGAACTGAGCCTAGCTTAGTTGGTTAGGTTCCTTATGGTAGAACCTGCCCACACGGGTTCAAGTCAACGACTTGGCATGGTTGCTCGTATTTTCTTGGATTTATTCCAGGATTTAACGACATTGTGCTTTTCAGTGGTAGGCGACATTCCCGTCGACAGCGAGACGCCTATGGTGACTTCGTCAATCTCGAGATGTGCCGGCATAGTCTTTCGGAGGTGCTCATAGGGATAGGGTTTGTGTTCGTGTGTTCATAGGGGTGAGTGTGCGTGCGTGTTGAGTGCCTGCGTTTATACTTATATAATTCGCAAAAAAAAGAAGACAAAAAATTGATATATATGTTATGATACAATGATAAATAACATAATTTACTTGTACTAGATGATTATACAAGACTGTTGCCTGAAATCATCGTAAAATTCATGCCCCTAAAATATAGGAAAAATGTATATATAAAGCTTCATTGTTTTTGTCTCTCCTTGTATATTCAGTCTCTCATCATGGCTTGTATAAATAAACGTGACCCCTAGCCCGGCCCAACCACTGCAAATCAGCGACAAACACATGGCGAACACGATTGCTTTTTGGCACCTGCAGGTTCTCGTCTTCGTGGCCGCCATGGCAGCGGCACTGCACGCCGCCGACGCGCGGTCCACGCTGGAGGCACAGCTGTGGCGGTTCATGCGGTCTCGAAGGAGCAGCGGCGGCCATCGTAGCGGCACGAGTACAAGTCGTAGTACTACGATCGTCGCTGATGACATGGCCGTTGTTGCTAGCCGCCTGAAGGGACGGATAATGACGACGCTTCACTCCGGCGACAGCAGCGGAGACGATGACCTCAGGCGGCTCAGAGAGGCCGGCAAGATCGCCGCGCTGCCGGGGCAGCCGGGCGGCGTCGCCTTCGACCAGTACGGCGGGCACGTGACTGTCGACGCCGACAGAGGCCGCGCCCTCTTCTACTACTTTGTGGAGGCACCGCGCCACGAGGCTGCCAGCAAGCCGCTCCTCTTGTGGCTTAACGGAGGTATTATTGTCTATGACGACGCTATGTGTGTGTTACAAGCATATTTTGTTTCCTTATAATCAGCCCTGGGCAAATTTAATCCAGAACCGAGAACCGAACCGAAAGAACCGGAGCCGAAATCAAAATAACCGGAACCGAAAAATTTAGTTCCTGATATTGAGGAACCGAAATAACCGAAGAAAGTTCGGTTCCTACTCTCGGTTAACCGAATTAACCGAAAGAACCAAATTACATGAATTACACTTCACTTACTTGTATTTTTTAAAATTATGTTTGTTTATGTGTAGTGTTTTATATTTGAACTGCTATATATTTGTGTGACTATATTGCTATTGTTTTCTTATACATTATTATTATTATTATTAAAAAAATGAATATAGTGTTTTTTAAATTTGCCTTAGAACACGTATATTTATTGTTGTCTTGAGGTCTTATGAAAAAAATCGATTAGTTCGGTTAGAACCGGAACCGAACCGAAATAACCGAGAACAGAAATGCTCGGTTCCTAAATTTTTGGAACCAATCGGTTCCCATTTTTTAGAACCGAATTTCATCAATAACCGAGGGAACCGAACTGAAACCGAATCGAGAACCGAACGCCCACCCTGATTTATAATAAGTCTATTGATATATATTTGATAGAAGAAAAAATCTACGTAATATTAATTTAAACTGTATATAAGAATAACAAGTAGATTTGATCATAGAAAATAAGAGTCTGTTTAGTCAGCACTCGAGTGTTTCGCTGACTTCAAGCACTCGATTTTTCTTCTTCACACCTTCGTTGTTCTTCCTCCTCGCCCTCGCTGCCGCCTACCGCTCCACCATGGCCACACTAGGGTTTTGCCGGAGCTCCACTGCTGGCCGTGGCTAGCTCTGGGGAAACCCTAGCGTGGTCGTGGCAGCCTACTTCTTCCCCCCTCCTTCCGCAGCGAGCACCGGCCATGGGCGCCCCTGCCCCGACTTGGTTCGGCCGCCTCTGCTGCCGCCAGCGCCCTTAAACCACCCCGCCGCCTTTCCCATCTCATCTGGCCGGCTTGCCTCCCCAAAAGCCTCCTTCTAAGTCCGCCGGAGTTGGAGAAAAGAGGGGGGAGAGGCTAGAGAGAGAGGTCGCCGGAACCTTAACGCATCTGTCATCTTCTTCTTCTCTCCGGAGCGGGCGTGGGCACAAGCGCAGGAGGGAGAGGGGGACGCGCTGGAGAAATCGAGTGTTCCGACACTTGGTTGTTGGATAGCCTTCTAAAAAATAACATAAAAATTAGTTTAAAGGGCTTATCTACACGACCTTTATATAGGTAGGTGGGGTAGGTGTCATGCCAAACTAGCTCTTAGTTACCATACATATTATCATTTTTTCCTAGTGTTTTTATCTAAGAATTTGTCTAGTTTGGAGAGATAATGTTGGTTGGGATCGTCCTATCTCATGTTTGATGATTGAGAGGATGGATCCATCCATCTTTTTTTTTTGGTTGGAGGGTTATAGTTGTTGATGTGATAAGATATCTCACACATGTGGCTCACCTATGTGTCTCTCTCCCACCTATACTAGTTCCGAGTTGGACAAACCTATTCCCTCATTATTAAGAAATAGACTCATAGAGAATATTATGCTCCGAGACGATTTTGTCCCACCTCTCTGAACAAAACACCCATAAAAGTAGGGCCTTTCCATATCCTATATCACTTTGTTCCACCAACCAAACACAAAGGAGTAGTAAGTATTTGTGCATGACAAGTCTAGGACAAAATGAGGAATCCATGACAGAACTTTTGAAGTAGTGTGTGTAGAAGGCATGCTTTGTTTATAAGTAGAGGCAACCAGGGGTTGAGCAATCATTAGGGCGTCCGCAGCGGTGTGCTCAAAACGCTAGCTAAGGTGGCGTCCAAATAAAATAAAAAAGGAACCTGATGTGCATGCCGTGGAACCACGTGAGCAGCAGAGACACAACGTTCGTCGACAGAAGTGCGAGACTAGCGCTTGCCTTCTCGCTAGCTAGTCGACAGTCCGTTGGACACGCCCTTAGGTCATGAGATCACATTCTAGAGCTTTTTGGTTCATTCGCGCACAATCGGTCAAAAGAAGTCTGCTATATATAGTAAAAACTCCATTTCACCTTTTCTACTTTACCTCTTAAAGCAAATCGTATGCCGCAACTGCAACAAGACTATATATATATGCAACATATGAGTGCGTCTATGATAATATTGTTGTAACCCTTTTCTCTTATTTTGCTTTTAATTAAGGCCACGCCACACCGGTCCACACGCACCTTAGTGACCATACCATAGTTCTAGTATGCGACGTTCATATAATCATATTATAATTTGACTAGCTCTTGACTACTAATTATATATGTCATTATGTGACTGAATACTGAATGGACGTCTTAATCACCAATGTATATGTATATATGTATCGATCCACGCCATGCAGGACCTGGTTGCTCATCACTTGGCTACGGAGCTATGGAAGAAATCGGCCCTTTTCGTGTGAACAACGACAGCAAAACCCTCAGCACAAACAAGCATGCATGGAACAACGGTAAGTTAAATGACCTCATCGTACACTACTCCTCAGCACATGCTGAAGTGCAGAACGTTATATTGAATATTTTTTGTTCCTACAAAACAAATTGATCTGATGTGTTACCAACAATGGTGAAAAAAATATGTAAAAATGTGCAGTGGCTAACGTCATCTTCTTGGAATCACCGGCGGGTGTTGGGTTCTCTTACTCCAACACTTCTTCGGACTATGAAAGCAGCGGAGACGAGAAGACCGCTGATGATGCCTACCTATTTCTGATAAACTGGCTGGAGAGATTCCCAGAGTACAAAGGCCGGCCGTTCTATATCTCAGGCGAGAGCTATGCTGGGCACTACGCACCGCAGCTCGCTGTGAACATCCTGCTACTCAACGCATACAACAACAGCAAAACCATCATAAACCTACAGGGTATCCTGGTACATCACCTTCTTGATTGTTTTTCATTTTGAAAACTGGCAAAAACTTCAATAAGCTTAGGCTATGATTAGTTGATTACATGTCTCATGTCTTTTTTTCTCCCTTTGTTTTTTGTTTGAGTGACCATGCCATACCAACATATATGAGCTAGTGCCTTGATCTCTCTCTTCTAGGTTGGAAATCCGCTCCTCGACGACTATTGGAACTCAAAGGGACTAATTGACTACTTCTGGAGCCATGGTGTGATGTCGGATGAAGTCTTTGAAAATGTCTCTAGGAGCTGCGGATACTCTAACAATCTGGATACGGATAGTGCATCGTCATGCACAGATGCTTGGCACGCATTTGATAAGGGAGAAATTGACCCCTACAACATATATGCTCCTGTTTGTGTAGACACACCTCAAGGACCAAATTATCCGAGCAGCTACGTAAGCACCAAATGTTGTTTTCCTAATTTACTGCTACTAGTTAATAATAGTACTCGTACAGCTAAAAATTCCTCAGTCTCAATCACCTATTTTTAGCTGGAGAATACTGATCTAATTTGCTAGAAATGTGATGGAGAATATCAAATTTCAACCAATTCAAATGTAGACACTTCCTCCAACATTTAGTACTGCAGTGATTTTTCGACACTGCTTCTAAAATTATTATGGGAACGATATTAATCAGCAAGTGGGTAATAACTTGCTTTCCTAGACGACCGTGTTCAGTACAAAATTAAAAATTATGTGTTGACTGTTTTCCATTACAGTTACCCGGATATGATCCATGCAGCGACAGCTACACCAGTGGCTACCTCAATCATCCAGAAGTGCAGAGTTCTTTTCACGCCAGACCGACAAATTGGTCATTATGCGTGTATGTAACATTTTTAGATAAAATGCCTGTGTGTAACATAGTATTTGGTTACTTCCAACTTTCAAGTTGCATGCAGACCTCTAACAACGAATAACAAATGGCCTTCTTTTGACCACTGCATGGTGACGAACTTAGTGCAACTCATATATATGAAATCTTTGCAGAAACATGACATGGAAAGACGCACCTGATTCCATGGTGCCAACCCTCATCTGGCTAATTTCGAAAGGGCTGCCTGTTTGGATTTTTAGGTAATGTCGTTGTATTAGTCAAGAACATATATATGCATAAATCCCTGAAAATATATGTATAAGAACTATGGACCTTTCTTTCAGCGGTGATTTTGATGCTATATGCCCACTTCCTGCTACAAGGTACACCATCCATGACCTTGGCCTCCAAATCACAACCCCATGGCGCCCATGGACAGCACACAATGAAGTAAGATTTACTGCAGATTTCAGAACAATATGCACACATACAAGGATATATAGCTTGAAACTTTGAACATTATGTGACGATGGTTGCACACTTGCAGGTAGGAGGCTATGTTCAGCAGTACACAGGAGGGTTTACATTCCTCTCTGTCAGAGGAGCTGGACATGCCGTTGCCTCTTCCCAGCCCGAGAGAGCATTGGTGCTGCTAAACTCCTTCCTGAAAGGAGAGCTCCCACCAAACGAAGTGGAGTAACGATCCATAAAGGAATGGTCGTGCCGAGACGCCAACCTCAACAAAAAAAAAAAAAAATCAAGTCAGACGGAGTTAGTATAATATTTATCTTGTTTGATGGTGACTTTATGTTGAGCGATAAAAGCAAGTACTTTAAAGTTATTATATGGTCCATGTTTATGTGAATCCATGGACGATTGTGCTGTTGTTTGGGATTGTGAGAACTAAACGTTAAGAGTTGCATTATTCTATGTTTTTCAAAGTTCTATATGTTTTTTTATATGGGAGCAATTTGCTCTCAACTTTGTCAGAACAACTCCAGCTAGCAGTGCCCCTACTTGGGCTCCCAAACTCAGATTTGAGAGTCAGAGGAAAACATTCAGGTCCACCAAGGCCCTTGCTCGGCCCCAAAATAGGAGGCATATCACTACAAGAGGTTAGGTCTTCTATGACTAACTTATTGTGACAATTACAACCATTTTTCTTGTCATTGTACCCCCTCTGTGACTATATGGCAGTGGTCATAGAAGGTGGGTCATAACCCCCTAACTAATAGACCCAATTATCATTAATCTTAGTAATAATTGCAAGTTTGTCACCAGGTTATGACCACGGTATTTGTCACTATATTTTTCATAATATATTAGACAAGATGATGACATGTGTCCAGGGATCTGACGTGGCACATGACGTGGCGTGTGATGTGGCACATGTAGTATGATGAAAATAATTGTCATAAAGACAAATTTGGCCTAGTTGGCACAATAATTCAACTATAATTCAACTAAGCCCAACTAGCCCATGTGCAGGCCGGCCATTTTTTGGCCTAATTGTTGTTAGCCTTTTTAGTTTTTGTCCAGTCTAGTGGTTAAGGATGTTCACTTGCAAATATTATCAATTACAAGTTGGTATTTTTGTTTTAAATTTTCCAAAAATAGCATTACATATAGAGCCCATTAAAATTATACAAAGAAAAGAGAATCCGAGTATATGCAACAACAGAAGAGTTAATATTTACCTTACACGTGGGTCCCACCAGTCCAGCTAGGCGTGGCTGTGCCAAGGTGTTTTTAAAAAAAATGATTTTTAATTTATGACTATCATATTCCATCACTTTTGTCATGACCTATTGTCATAAAGATTGGGAAGGGCACATAGTTGTAGGGCCGAGATGGTGGACTAGGCGGGGTGTAAATAGTCATTTCTAAAATTAATCGTGTCGGCTAACCGAGACAAATGCAGAATTAAAACTATCGGTCTAGTCAAGACTACACCCCTCTATCTAAGTTTACTAGCACCTTATAAAAGATCCTAATTAGGCAACAAAGGTGCCATGGCTTGCTAGAGCTCACCTAATCAATTCTAGAGCAATGTCACACAAACCTATGCACTAGTACTCAAGCAACCGGGAATCTCCTACACAATTAGTGATGCAAAAGCACAAAGCTCCTAAACTCACTAGCAATGCTCAATAACAAGGCTACACAAGCTATATTAGAGAGCGCAAATTACTTAGCTACACAAACTAAACAATGTGACTAACAAGGTTACTAAAACCAAATTAGCCACGCAAGGAAGCTACTTCCATGCTACACAAGGAAGAAGGTAACTAGCAAGGTACACAAGCTAACTAATCACAAGAGCAACTACACAAGCACAAAGTATATAAAAGAAATTACAAGCTTGTGCAAAGGGGATGCAAACCAACGGGAAGACAAGGATGACACGGTAATTTTTATCCCGAAGTTCATGTGCTTGCCAACACGCTAGTCCCCATTGTGTCGACCGCTCACTTGGTGGTTCGACGGCTAATTGACATCACCTGCCAAGCCTGCACGTCGGGCACCGCAAGAACCTACCCACAAGTGTGGGTAGCTCAATGACATGCTCTACTAGAGTTGCTCTTCGTGCCTCCCACGGGGTGAGCACAATACCCCTCACAATCACTTCTCCGGAGCACCGCACAATCTTCTTTGCGTGCTTCGACGAAGACCACCACCAAGCCATCTAGGAGGTGGCAACCTCCAAGAGTAACGAGCACCACTGGCTTACCACATAATCACCTAGTGCCACTCGATGCAACCTCACGATGCAATCGTACTAGAATCGCTTACTCACTCGATCGGATGATCACTATCAAGCACAAGTGAGTTAGAGGGCTCCTAAGCACACCTACATAAGCCACCAAGGCTCAAGGGTGCTCAGCTACCGTCCCAAGGCCGACCAAAGCTTGGTTTTAAAGCCCCCATGAAAAAAGAGCCATTGTACCCCTTCACAGGGCACACTACGATGTGACCGGACGTGCCTTTACATAATGACTGGACGCAACACAGTGGAATCCGGTCGTCATGATGCTGCCATGTGTCATCCGGATTCAACGTCGTGCGTCGATCTCCAATGGTCGGCTCCTTTAACTTATGTGGTTAGTAGCAACCGGATGCACCGACCCTAGTGATCGGACGCGCTCGAGCCAGGTCAGGTCGCACAATCGCCCGTGCCCCCGAGCCTACTGACCTGACACACCGCCTGATGACCAGACGCTCTACCACCATGAGTCAGGTCACTTCCAAAGATAGTCTAGAGAGGAGAAATCGTGACTTGACATGTCCGGTCAATGGTGACCTGATGCGGTCAGCGTCCGGTCTCTCACTCTCTCCACTCTAGGCGCCAGAATGCCGCCACATCATCTATCGTCAGCAATGATCGGACACGACCCCTGCGCGTCAGGTCACTTCTTCGCCCAGCATTCGATCAAAGACCGACACCTGCGCCTTCACTGCAGAGCATGACCGGACGCGTAAGTCCAGCCAAGGCCAGCGTCCGGTCACCTCAAGTGACCTCTTTTCACCTCCGTTTCTTCACCGAGTTGATCCACAACAACTCCAATCACTTCTCCTTTGCAAATGTGCCAACACCACCAAGTGTACACCATCATGTGAATGTGTGTTAGTATTTTCACAAACATTTTCCAAAGGATTAGTCACTCAATTCACCACACCGACTCGATCCTAGCAACGATGCAAAGTTAGATCTCTCGAGTGGCACTAGATGACCGATAAGTAAACAAGTTTGCCCCTCTTGATAGTATGGCCATCTATCCTAAACCCGGTCATCAACTTCTCTACACACCTATGACCGGTGAAATGAAATGCCCTAGGTTATACCTTTGCCTTGCGTATTCCATTCCATCTCCTCCAATGTCGATGCAACACATGCACCAACATGATCAACAATGATATGATCCACTCCATATCATCACGTGACCATATTGGTTCATCGATCTTGACTTCACTTGCTCTTCACCGTTGCTTCGGTCCATCAGCGCCAAGTCATCACTCAACTTGCCCTTCACAATTGCAACCGGTCCATCGAGCCAAGTCATGTCTTGATCGTCTCCACCTTGATCACATGACTCAATGTCATGTCTCATGTGCAATGAGCTCCTTCATCACATGAGTGAGCGTTGCAACATCTTTGAGCCATCTTCACCGTCATGGCATATGTTGCTCACACACATGTACCTATGGACTAATCACCTGTGTTTCTCATATTAAACACAATTAATCCACCTAAGGTTGTCACTCAATTACCAAAACCAAACAAGGACCTTTCAATAGTGATGGTTGTTTCTGACTAAATCACATTTTGGTCTTAAACGCTTGCCATCCAAAGAAAAATTGTCATAAATGCATCGTTTCTATGACTAAAAAGTGCTTTGTCATATGAAAATTGTCATAGAAGGCCCAATCTCTTGTGGTATATCAAATCACACCTACAAGTCCTCATTCCTAGGGGTCCTCCATCTGGCTCCTATCCTACGGTTGGCTTCCATTTTTTCCCTCCTCGTTAAATTTCTCATCACGACGTCTCTCACCCACCCAATGCTTCCTGCTGAGCACCTTCCTGCCGCACCCCTACCAAGAAACTCCTTGCCACGTCCTGCTGAGCGCCTCTCCCTATTGTGCTCATCAACGATGAGCAGCGATGGTTGGCCCATGCGTGGTACATCAATTGGGGGAGTAGGACATGCGCTGTACCGGTGTGTCTCCTCCCGAGGAGGTGCCCTGACCACGTCTCATCTTCTTCGACCACCCCTTGCATAGCTCATCTCCTCCCAAAGAGATGCTCCTGTTGTAGCTTGTCTCCTCCCTAGTGACCCTACCCATAGCTCCTCTTCTCCCAACGAGGTGTACTTCTAAGCGAGGGTGAGGGCCGTAGCTTCTCCTCTTGGCGACCTGATGTGCATAGCTCAGTCAATAGAGCAAGGAAAAGGGATTGAGCGAAGAAAAGGGGAAGGGGAGAATGATGAGCAGGTCCCAACTATCATTGTCTATTGGGATGATTTGAGGGCTTAGATTTGTGGGCTACTACTAGAGTAGATGTAAGAAAAGAGGCCCTCAAAAGTAGGGGGCTTTTAATTATAACATTTATGTTGGATATGACTTGATAAATAATCGTAGAAGCTTTTCTCCTTAGAAAAAAATTATTTTACTCCATCCTCTGCATGAATTTTGTCTAAAACTATCTAATACAACAAAGTTTTAGCCTCCGGCTCTTGAAATTGAATCTTTCAAAAACCACAAAATGGTTGTAAAAAACTAAGTCACATGGATCATGCAAGAAAAGCACCACACCGCTATATAAATGGTTCCCCCCAACGACATCAGTGATAATATATGACATCGCCGGTTCGTAATAGAACTAGTAGTGAAAATGGTCGGTTTTCACCACCTGTTCAAGCTACAAGTAGGTGGTGAAAACTAGCCTTGAGTATATAAGTGAGAAACCCTACAGTCATCTCCATGTGTTCCCTCTCTCCCTCACCCCGACCACTGCCACTTTCTCTCCCTCACCCTGGCCTGCCTTCTCTCTTTCTTCTCACTCCATTTATTCACCCTTGTCTCTCCCTCCATACTCGGTCACCACCCTTCCTTATCAACTCTAGGCTCCCAACTTTGGTCATTGCCCTCTCTGCTCTGAGTGCCTCCCTCTCCAACCACCACGTTCCCTAGGATCGACCG